TTTTTTTTGAGACTGATTTTCACTTTTGTTGCCCAGGCTGGAGTGCAATGGCGCGATCTCGGCTCACTGCAACCTCCGCCTACCGGGTTCAAGTGATTCTCCTGCCTCAGCCTCCCGAGTAGCTGGGATTACAGGCGCAGAGATGGGGGTTTCACCATGTTAGCCAGGCTGGTCTCGAACTCCTGACCTCAGGCGATCCACCCGCCTCGACCTCCCAAAGTGCTAGGATTATAGGCGTGAGCCACCGCACCCGGCCGACCCCCTCATCTTAAAAACAGACACGCAAAAGCTCTAGAGAGGCTCGCGGAGTTGTAAACTACAACTCCCAAGAGACTTCGCGGCCGAGGCCTCCGCCCACTTCCGGATCTCACTTTCCATTGCTTCCAAGTACCGGGCGGGGCTTTGCTTCTTCAACCGAACTTGACCACAATGGGAGGAGGCGTGGCAACCAATGGGCGCATGAGTTAGCTGGATGAGGCCAATGGGAGCGTGCAAAGCGCTCATATGTGGGGGCGGGGCTAGAGTGCGCACCAATGACGGGGGGGTGGTGGCGCCATCAGTGTGGGCTGTGCCGTGGCTGGAAGTTACTGTGAGGCGGCGGCTTAGAAGGCGGCTGTGGTGGCGGCGGTGGAGGCTGAGGCGGCGGCCGAGGCGGCGACGGAGGAAACAGAAGATGGTGAGTATGGCCTCCAGGCCTCTACTCCCCCTCCGCTCGACAAAATGGCGCCGTGGTCCCACCCATCTCTAGTATCCCCCTAGGCCCCTCTCCGCCCTGCCCGGCCCCCTCAGGCTTGGCCCGCCCCCCCACTCACCTGTGACCTTCGACCCCCGGACCCTACCGAGAGCTTCCTGATGATCCCACTGCCACTCCTTCTCCGACCCCTGACCCCATCCAGGATGCCAGGCCCTGACAACTCATTCATTTCCGGGTTGCGGCTCCCCCCGGAAACCGTCTGGGGTGGGGATGGGGTCCCGTAAGACCCCCTGGTCCGGCCTCGTCCTCAGCGCGCTGGTCCTGGATCTCTTCAGTTCAGGAGAATTTGGGAGGCCAGCCTGGGTCCCGGGGAGGGGGAGGGGGAGGGGGCTTGGCACCGTGATATGCAGGGCTTTGTCGCCAAAGGAAGTGCGACATCGCCGACTGTCCCGGTCCCCCTGGGCCCTGACCCCACCTCCGCCATTCTGGGCCCTTATCCGCCCCTAAGAATGAGCAACTTTTATCTCCGATCCACATGGGTTGTCCCTGTCAAATGAGGGTAGCAGTAGTCTGAACCTCTTAGGGTGGTGACAATTTAGGTAACTGACGTCGTAAAGGACTTAGGATAGTGAATGCAGAACAGATGAGCTGGGTGACTTGAGGCCAGTGACGTTCATGAAGTGTGGATCGTCCCCACCTGGCTGTTGGAACATTGAAATTCCTTCCGGGTTTCTCAGTCATCCTGGAATTTGGGTCTGGTGGTTCTTCGGGGTTCAGTCTCCCCACCTGAAAAGTGGGATGGTGACCCACCCTCAGAGTAGAGCTAAAGCCTCTCCCCAACCCCCACTAGTTGGCATCCTCAGGGCTGGGAAGAGTGATGAGAAGCTTGGTCGAGATACGTCGAGGCTACTTTGTCCCCTGACCTAGACTCCCAGCCCACAATCCATAGTCCTTGGGATGTGGTGGGGATGAAAGGAAGACTCCTTTTCAGGAAGGAAATGGGAAGGTGGGTTCCTAGTGTGGGGGTCCCCAAGCCTGGGTGTTGTCCTTGACACCTTGGTACAGTCTCATCCCTACGGCCAATCATGAGTGGATTAGATTGGCTCTACCTTCAGAAAACACCTGAATTCATCCATGGCTTCACACCCTGTTGCAGGTACTGCCACCTCCCACCTGTGTACCTGTCCCAGCTTCTTCCCTGGTCTCCTAGCCTTGCTCTCACCCCTTTGGCAGTTCATAATTCACCTGAACCAGAAGGAGCTTTTTTTTTAATTGGAGGCAGGGTCTCATTCTGGCGCCCAGGCTGAAGTGCAGTGTGTGATCGCAGCCCATTGCAGTCTCCACTTCCCAGGCTCAAGAGATCCTCCCACCTAGCTCATTTTTGTACTTTTTGGAGAGATGGGGACTCCCTGTGTTGCCCAGGCTGGTCTCGAACTCTTGGGCTCAAGTGATCCTGCCTCAGCCTCCCAAAGTACTGGCATTACAGGTGTGAGGCACTGCATGGGGACTGAGAAGGAGCTTTTTTTTTTTTT